CTCGCTTTCTGTCTCTATGTCTCTCTCTGTCTGTCTGGCGAGCGCACGCACCCTATAGTGAAAATCTCTAAAAAAAAAAAAAAAGAAAGAAAGCAAAAAGACAATGTACAGAGTGGGAGAAAATATTTGCAAATCCTACATCTGTAAGAGCTTAGCGTCTAGAATACATAGCATTAGAACTCAACAATCAAAGCACCAATAACCTACCTATTTTAAAAATAGACAAATATGTAGCACAGAAGTTAAGCCCAGTGCAGAGGAAGCCAGATGCCACATGGCTAACCAGGATTTGAATCCTGGCTGTAGGGGCTTCCAAACATGCCAGGCATCTGCCTGGGTGTCCAGAATCCTGATGGGAGGGAGAACTAAAGGCAAAAGGATTGCTGGATGACCAGGCCCCGTTGGGAGAGCTCTCTCTCAAGTGTGCATGTACCCTCTGGCATTAAAAAAATTATGTAGACAAAGGGCCCACTTGTGGCAGCATGAACTAGTTAGTAGACCTCGCTACTCAACTATCTGAGGACATGGGAGATTCAGGTCTGACTCCCAGCTTGCCCCGAATTCTAGGCACAGTGGTACACACCTCTATGGGGCAAGTACCACTAGGGCGAGGACTGTGACACAGTGAAACCTTGTCTAAACAATAATATTTTTTCAAAATGAAGATTCTGAATACACGTTTCTCAAAAGAATATAAAACAAATGGCCAATAAGTTCATGAAAAGATACTCAACATCCTTAGTCATTACTTACGGTCATCAAAATAAAAACCAAAAGACCTTTTCACATCCACTAGGTTACAGAAAAAAAATAAATCAATCAAAACACCAGACATGGAGGAACCCTCACATATCACTGGTGTAAATACAAAATAGTTTAAATTGTAATGAACAGTTTGGCAGTTCTTCAAAAAGCTTAACATAGAGCTACCATACAACCTAGCGATTCTACTTCTTGGTATATACTCTAGAGAATGAGAACATATGTCTACATTAAAAACTTGTACAAAAATGTACATACTAGCCTTATTCAGAATTAAGGAAAAAGTAGAAACATACTGAAGACCCATCAACTAATGAGGGAATAAACAAAATGTAGTGCAGTCGTCCCCCCTTTTCATGGCAGACACGTTCCAAGCCTTTCCAGCAAATGTCTGAAACCATCCCTAGCCCTACACATGCGCACACCGTTTTTTCCATCTGATAACCAAGATAGCTGCTAAGTGGCTAAATGGGAGGGCAGCACATACGGTGTGCATACAACGGGCAAAGGGACGTTCCACGCCCTGGGATGGATGGAGTAAGACGGCAGGGGATTTCATCATGCTACTCAGAACAGTGGACGATTTAAAACTTATAAGTTTTATTATACAAGGTTTCTTTCTGGAATTTTCTATTTTTTATGTTAATTCATTAATTTTTAAATTGTTTTTTTTTAAATTTGCTATAGCACATGTGTATTCACTGAAAAAAGAGACTGAGAAAGTGAGAAAGCAACCCCTGGGGGATGGCCATGCCACAGTCCCTTCTCCATTCACCCCTAGGGATTTTGGGCATGCACACATATGCATCTGGCATGTTTCTCAGGCCAACAGGTCTGGGACTCAAACCACACAGTCGGCCGAGTAGAATCTAGCTGCCTTAACCACCATACCACTGGCTGGTCCTCTGTTTAATATTTTAAGACTGTGGTTAATCATGGACAACTGAATTTGTGGAAAGCAAAACCATAAATAATGGGAGAGGGTCTAGTGTATAGAGATATACAATATATAGAATATTACTCAGCAATAAAAGGAACAGACTCATCTAAGGGAACTTCAAAATGTTCATGGAAATGTGGAATTAAAGTACAAGTTTATCTGGGAGCAAAAATAAAAAATAAAACCCATGCATAGATTTTTTAAAAAATACACATTTTCCATGAAATTTTGAACCCCCTTTCTATATGCTACAATATGGATAGACCTTGAAAACACCATAGTAAGTAAAAGACGTCACACACAAAGGCCACATATTGTATGACTTCAGTTACAAGAAATCTCCAGAATAGGTAAATCCGTACAGACAGCAGCATTAGTGGTTGTCAGAGAATAGAGGGAAGAAAGAAAAGGGGAATGATTGTTAAAGGTGTGAGGGTTTTTTACCTTGGGAATAAAAAGGTTTGAAGAGCCAGCAGTGGTGTCCTTAAAATGGCTGGCCCCCACATGGCTGAGTGCGGGGCTTCAGTCCTGGACCCAGGGCTTGAAAAACACGCCGGGACCATGTGCCTGCGAGCCCCAAATCCCAAAAGGGGAAGTGGAGGAGAAGGGTTTGTGGTGTGACCATCTCCCCTGAGGGGAGGGTGCCTTCTCACTTTCTCTCTGTCTGGCGAGTGTGTGCATCCTTTAGCAAAAAAATGTTTGATGTTTTAGAATTAGATAGTAGTAAAGGCTATACAACTTGTGAATATACTAAAAATCACTGAATTATACATTATAAGAGGGTGAACTTTATGGTATTTGAATTATATCTTAACAAAAATTATTTTACTATAACTGAAATATTTCAATGAAAGAAGCTAAAATAAACATGGGCCAGACGGTGGCCTGGTGATTAAGGAAATGGGATTCTACATGACTGACTGCTGTGTATGTAAAATGTAAAGATTGCTGGGTACACCACAACGAGGATGACATCAGTTCACTGACAGAGTACCCAGAAATCTGCACTTTGCCACAATATTCAGATCGAGAAAGAGCTACCAAAATAGAAATGAATAAAAACACAGAAGGAAAGAACGGGCTGAAGTCCAAAGAAAACTAAACCCATCTTGGCTAAACAGCTGTGTTGAAAAACAATTTCTTATCTTGCAATTAAGAACCGATTTCTTTCTGAAAGACACAGGACATTGGGTTAATAGATTTCTTTAAAAGAAAATCTGTTTTGGCTATTGAAACATTAAAAGAACAGAACATCTGTTTTGCGAGTAAAGACAGATTGCATAGAAGAATCAAATATCAAACTACCGATTAGACTAGCATTTAATCTGTTCTATTTAAATTTTCAATAAAAATAAATGAAGTTACATTCTTGAAATTACAGCTCAGCTATAAATATTTAACACTAGGAAACCCTTACCCTAAGAAGATTTTAGAGTATAAAGGAGGGAATTATTAGTATATTTTAATTATTTTAAATTCTACTTGACATTCATATCAAAAGTAGGTTTTAAAGCACGCTATTCTAAACATCATTTTTAGAGTACTGTAAAAGGGGAAACTCACCATCCATGAATTCTGTACATATTGAAATCCTGTTTTCTACAAAAAATGCCCCATAAAATCCTATGATATATGATGAATCACACTGCAACCAAAAAAAAAACAAAAGAGTTTAAGACCTGTGAGTCAATACCATAGGCATGTTTTACAAGTAAAAATGACCGAGGAAAAATTACCTTATAAAGAATTTCCAACTCAGACATAATCTGCTTCTGGAGTTCCAGCGTAATATCTAGCAGTATGACCTAGAGAAAGTATGAACATTCGCACACTTACATTCAAGTCAGATACAGCGGTTCCATAACCACCGAAATGGAAGAGCTAAAAACTACGGTGGCTCCTTAAGGAACCCCCTCCCACCACTATAACCCCCAGCCAACAAACTGTCTCCGCGTCTGTCTAACCCTTTGTACCGGGGAGGTGGTACAGAAGTGATTGATGGGACCAAGGAAAACGCCAGGTCTCAAAGGTCAGCATTAATGGCTTTAAAAGTCAGTTAAGTTATAAGGCTCTTAATTTATGCACTCTATTTGGGCCACATTGGTTATTTTCAGGAGAGGAAAACAGGAATGACCCTTAAACCATTAAATATGAACTGTCTTGTGATTTAGGCACTAGGCGACAGGCAGAGAGGACGTGTAAAAACGACATTTTACACGGGGAGTTCAGGTATGAGAGAAATAAGGAGTATTTTAAGTGTACTGTCTGTTTGTTTTCTTCCAGTTGGGTAATGTCTCCTTTACGGCTTAAAGGAACCTCACTTCATCCACACCCCTTCTTTTTTTTTTTTTTTTTGGAGAGATTTTCGCTATAGGGCGCGTGCGCTCGCCAGACAGACAGAGAGACATAGAGACAGAAAGCGAGAAATCACCCCCCAGGGGGGATGGTCACGCCGCAATCCCTTCTCCTCCATTCTCCTCTCGGGATCTTGGGCACGCACGCACACGCGCCCTGCGTGAGTTCTAAGCCACCGGGTCCGGGACACGAACCGCGGTCGACTATGTGGGAGTCCAGCGACATAGCCATTACGCTAACTGCTGGTTCCCATCCACACCCCTTCTTCAGACAGAGCAGAGGACACCCAGTTCCTCTATGCCAAGGAGCCTGGGGCCTGGCAGTGGCCGGACTCCTCTGACTCCCACCCCGCATGTCTTCCAGTACTTCCTAAAAGACCAACCACCGGGTCAGATTTGTAATCTAGAAATGTAAGGTAGTTACACATTTTCCAAGAATAAACTCTAGCTTATCTCAAACGCTTACTTTTTAAAATTGTTTTAAGAAAAAAGACAGTCAACAGTTTAAATTTTACGGAGTACGTAAGTGAAACCAGTTCGAGGGTAATCATTTCACTTTAAAGACAGTGACGTGGAACCAGCAGATGGCGGTAACGGTTACACTGCCGGACTCCCACATGGGCTCCCTGCGGTTCCAGTCCCTGACATGGTGGCTTCAAACTCACGCCGGGACATGTGTGTGCGCCCCCAAGATCCTGAGAGGAGAATGGAGGAGAAGAGATTGTGGTATGGCCATCCCCCCAGGGGGTGATTTCTCACTTTCTGTTTCTCTCTTTTTCTTTCTCTGTCTCTGTTTCTCTCTCTCTCCAGTGAGCACACGCACCCTACAGCAAAAACCTCTCTTAAAAAAAAAAAAAAAAAGTCATGAGAATAAAAAAGGTAGAGAACAATTTTTAAGATTTGTGGAAGAGTTTCTGACTCTGGACATTCCTAGATAAAAAAACTTAACAGTCAAGACTACATGACATGCCATCCAACACTGAATTACATCCTGTGTTATAACTGAAGAATATATATCTAATCATATGGGAGGAAAAAACATAAATTACAAATCGCAAACCACTGGCAGAGCAAGGAAAGAGAAGGACAATTCTAAAACACATTTTACAGGACTGACACCCATTTGGGGTAGGGGAGGGTGAGGAAAAAAGGCATAGCCGGTTTCTATCAAGCGTTTGCTTTAGGGTTATTTATAAAAGCTCGCACTAAACGAGATTGTGAGTGTAATACGAAACTGCCAAGAAACGTTTAAACACTTTTCCCGATCAATAGTCATTTGCCAACAATATTCACTTACATTTTTGTTCCAATACAAAACTTAGCAACAAAATCAAATTCATCTAGCACTTTCAATTCTATGCCATAAAATATTACAACTCTTCATACCATTATGTCAAGTATAGGAACTCTTTAGCCCTAAAAAACTGCTAAAAAAGAAAAAAAAAGAAGAAACAGAAGACAGAAGAAAAGACATTGCTGACCTTACAGCAGTGGCTCTCAACCCTGGCCTAACATAATTACCTAGGGCTCTTTATAAAAAGCCCCATGAATAGGCCTTAACCCTGAATAATGGAATCTGAATCTCTGGGGTTGGGTCTGCATTTTGGGGTTTTTAAAAAGCTCCCCAGGTGACTTTTAACCCACAGTAAGGTTGAGAACCACTTATTTAAGGTTTCAAAAATGCCATTTGTCCACGGCTAAGATATATGAGTGCTAAAATACACAGCACCTCTGGGTCGCCAGCCTGTGGTCCTCCCTGGGGGTCCCTGCTTCTGCTGTTCCCTCCACTTGGGGTATGCGGCCTTCCTGCACTCCATGGTCACAGTGTAAAATCCCGCTCCATCTTTAAGACCAAGCTTGGGGGCTGACAGGTGGCGTGGTGGTTAAGGCACTGGATGCCCATATGGCCAACTGTGGTTCAAGTTCTGGACCTGGTGGCTTGCTTTCTGACTTTCCCTGTCTCTCTGGTAAAATTAGGTAGTAATAATAATAATAAATTTTAAAATGAAACAAAATAATTCTTAAAAAAAAAAAAAGACCCCACCTGAATGTTGCCACCACCTCCATGAAGCCCATCCCAAACCTCCATCAGAATTCAGCTCTACCTTCACATTTCTTACCACATTCTGCCTGCAGCATCTACCCCTCATCTCCAAAAACCAGGAGCCTCCAGAGGACTAGTGGCTGTGAGGGCCTGAAGAGTCAGGGCTGAGTCTCATACATTTCTCGCTCCCTCCGTGCCCACCACAGGCCTTACCATAGTGTCTGTTCGGTGATGTGGGATTTAATTAAAGTGCCCCTTACAACCAGAAGCCTCTAAATAAGGAGCTGTTTCTAGACAGGAGAAACGAATTGCTTGATTTCTACAACTGAGTTTAAAACCAAAGGCATAAACACCAAAGTAACTACAAGTGCTACGCTCACCTAAAATATAGCAAGGGGCATTACCGTATCTGGGCACCGAGCCACGGCGCTCTAACTGACCCTGATCATTCCTGC